AACTCGACTTGCGATCAGAGTCATGGAACGGATTAAGTTCATAAGTAGAGGTACCACTGTATGTAGGTAGGTAGGTAGGTAGAGAGAGAGAGAGAGAGAGAGAGAGAGAGGCGGGGTGTTTCTTCTATGCCGTAAACACAATTATTCTGTGTTCAGCGGTAAAATGTTGCAGATTTCAGTATGAATGCATTATTCTACTACCTCTGTAGGAACAAAGGAGAGTTATTTTTAGCATTCTTTTCATTCAGTAGCTTTCCTTGGAACAAACTGAAAATTGAACAGAATTCCTGAGCCCAAGTCTTTGGCTTAAGCCAAGCAAAAAAGCACCAAGGATACTACATTATCACAGTCAGAACAAACTAAACAGCTGCATATTTTTCTGTCTCTCCACTTCTTAGTATGGGATGTTGCTGTACCAAAATTACAGAATTCCACAACAGAGAAACAATTTGCTTCCTCACTTCACCACTCCTGTGGTAAGTTAATTTATGTACTGTACAGACATTATTTCATCAATAATATAAGCAGGAGTTCAGGTGGCTTTTTCCCATTGAATGGTACAAAGCAGCTTTTAGCTACTCAGTCCTGACATTCTCTACAGTGTACACTCTTGGAGAGTCAGATGGTAATCCAGTTACACTTCTTAGTAATTTTCATCATAAAGGAAACCAAAGAAGTAGAAAAGAATATCACAAATCAGTAAAATGAAATAATATGCAAAATGAGCTACGTGATGGGAAGGGGTTGGATTGTGAACCCAATTTGCCTACAGTAGCTACTCCTAACTTCTATACCAGTAAATGAGATCAGTAGAAGTTCTACTCTGCTACTTACCTCAGAATGTTATTGCTTGTCTTCTCAGGGAGTGATTGAAACAGGGTTTTATTCCAGTGTTTGTGGCTGGAGAATTCTGGGAGTTGAAGTCCACACATCTTAAAGTTCTGAGGTTGAGAAACACTGTTCTATTCCTTGTTCTTTGGAATTCATTTTAAATCAAGTTGGGAAATCTGTTTCTGAATCACATGCTCCCAACATCCTCCACCATTGACATGCTGCTAGAGCTGTTGGGAGCCAGTTTCCCCACCCATGGTTTAAAATCTGCTTGACTTATTCCATCAAGCTTTCCTATGACTGAGTGATAGCAAGGATAATTTATTTTATATATTCTGCCCACGTGCTGTCCATTCTATGATTTCAGTTTTAATTTTATTCTTTTTTTAATGATACTTTTAAAAATCTTTCAGAGAAGTGTGTCTGAAAATTCCTTAGTAGCAATGGATTTTTCTGGACAAATAGGAAGAGTGATTGAAAATCCAGAAGAAGCACAGTGTGCAGCCTTGGAAGAAGGCCATGCCTGGCGGGTAAGAGAATCCCATTCTGCTTTGCCAATTGGCAAACCTTTCTCTGTAGACATATCTGTGAAACATTGGTTAGAAGAGCACTTCGTGTTATTATCAGCTATGGCATAGGAGCTATTGTAATGTTTTCAAAGGAATTTGATATTTGATTGAAGGAAGACACTATTTTCTCTGTTATGCTGGTTCTTCAAATGGCCATTCGTAATGGGGAGAGTATTCACCTTGCAGGGCATGGTTCCTCTGATGTGGGAATGACTGCATTGGGGAAATCCTTAGTCCTTTGGGTGGCATTTTACACATGCCTTTTATTCAAAGTTTTCACATTAAGAAGATATACATGGGCCCAATCTACTATCTAAGGAAGAGGTGTCAGGTTATGCCTGCTTCATGCATTAACTGAATGAAGGGGCAATAGATATAGATACGCATATATATTTTTATCCTGTTCTTTCTTCAGAGATCATATTATTGTATAAAAGAGGCTTTTCCTCTTCAGCCTACCTTCTGCATCTCCATTCATAGATAGTGAATGGCTCATACCCTGTTCCTTGGCTTATTAGTGGAATAGTAGGCAGTTGTATATGAAAGACACTTATTTTTATTGTCCTGCCTTTTTATTTATTTATATTTGGTCAACTCAAGGCAGCAAACATACCTAATACTCCTGCCTCCTATTTTCCTCACAACAACCACCTTATGAAGTAGATTGAGTTGAGAAAGAGTGACTGCCTCAAAGTCACCCAGCCAGCTTTCATGCCTAAGGCAGGACTAGAACTCACAGTGTCCTGGTTTCTAGGCCAGCACCTTAACCACTACGCCAAACTGGCTCTTATGTTATTAATTAATTACTATATAATATCTTATATGCCAATATACTTATATTATATATAAAATATAAACTTAGGTACCAAATTGCCTCTTATGCACTATTATTCTTATAAATGATTGGAGAATCATCATCTTCACTATTCAGGCAAACGGGTATGCAAAGTAGTATTATTTGCTTTCCATGAATTTGTTTTATCTTGCCTTTCCTGACAGAGAGCTCAGGATGTAGTTTATGGTCCACACCCCACCCCAGTGAGCTTCATAGCTGGCTTGGAAGTTTGCACCAGAGTTTTTCTTTTTTTTTCCCTCTTAATGGAATCAGGTCAGACTTTGTGCTTTTTGCTCCATACAGCTGATAATGCATTATAATTATATGCTTTATTCTGCAGAAACGCAGCACAAGAATGAACATTTTGGGGAATCAAAGCCCACTTCATCCTTCCTCGCTGAGCACAAGTAAGAAGAATGGCAACTGCTGAGTTTGGTCTTTTTATTTCAATGTGAAAGTTGAGTCACTAATTTAGATTTCAGATTTAACTTGACTCAAACAATAATTGTTCTCCTTAAGTCAGAAGGTTCAACTTTCTTCATTCTTAGCCTTCCAGAAATTAAAACTGAGCTCTTCCAGAACCATTTTAGAACCTGATATTACTGTATTGTGCTATTATTTTTTATTTTATTAATATTATGTTTTTGTCTTGTTTTGTTTTTATTGTGTAAACCACCAGGAGCCATATTTTGAATCTGGTAGTTAGGAATATAATAAACAAGGATAAAACACATACTGTACCATGCACACACTCTACAGTATACTATCACATCAAATCTTTATTACAGTTAAAGACCAGCATAAACAATATACAAGGATTAACCATTTATTTCTCCATCAGTTATTCATAAGACACAGCACTGGTTTCATGGCAGGATCTCAAGAGAAGAATCCCACAGGATTATTAAACAACAGGGCCTTGTGGATGGGTATGTATTTTTAACTGAGTATGTACTATTTATTCCATGGCCTACAAGTCCCAGAAATATCCCTGAAATGAGTGCCCTAATAGACTTACATTCTACTCAATTACTTGGGATGCCTATAGGATAAGGTTCTTGGGGGAAAAAAATAGTAATAACTATCCATTACTAGTTCAGACCATCTATACTGAACTAGTCTACCTGAAGCTGCCTAAGACTGAAAGCTATGTGCTTGCTTATTGAGTTGGAATCCTCTAGAATCACTGGAATGCTCAAGTTGCAAGGCATAAAATGATTAATATTGTATCCTTGAACATACATAGTATATCAGCATCTTATATATAGTTTTGTTTTATGTTATTTTCATCAGTGAAATATTAGATTACTTATGAATAGACATAGAATCTGATGACATCATAAAGCAGTGGAGTTGTTAGTTTATAAGAATTGCATAGTCAATCTGGTAGTAACATATAATATTATTTTGTAGGTTATTTCTTCTTCGGGACAGCCAGAGTAATCCGAAGGCATTTGTACTTACATTGTGTCATCATCAAAAAATTAAACATTTTCAGATTTTACCAGTAAGTATAGTATTCCACCCAGGCAGTACTGGGTGGTGATATCTTTCAGTATGTGACTTTAATTCTGTCCTCTTAATTTTTCTAAAGTGTTAAATTAACAATTACCTATCTGTTTACCCCCCCCCCCATCAGAACCCAAGGAATTGAAAAAGACAATGGTTTCATACTTATTGAAGAATTAAGGAACATTGTAATGAGATGGTGAAAATAATGATGATCCATAAAATGGTGGGCCGAATTTCAGAACTGTAATAAGTGTAGGATTGTCAGTCTCAGATACATTGTTCATTCTGTACAATATATATGTGATTAGTATATGTATTTTTCTATATTAGCTATACTCTTTCTTATATCAGCATATACATTCCTTTATTTCTTAGTTTTAAATGCTACATTGATGGTCCTTTGCTAGAACTGATTGATCTTAAGTTGCTAACATTCCCTAAATTTTAAGTAGTGTTAATATTTTGGAAAGAGATAATTTTGATTGATTTTGTGCCATCAACTCAATGTCAACTCTTAGTGACCACATAGATGGATTTCTCCATGATGATCTGTCCCTAACCTGGTCCTTCAGGTCTTCCAACAGTGCACCCATTGCCACTGTAACTGAATCCATCTATCTTGCTATTGTCATCCTTTTCTTCTCTTTCCTTCCAGTTTCCTCAGCATGAGAGCCTTCTCTAGAGAGCTAGGTCTTTGTGTTAGTGTCTCCAAAACAGGGTAGCTTGAGCCTGGCCATTTGTGCCTTCAGTGAGAACTCTTGTCTGATTTGTTTGGCTTGAATGTAATCCCACAGAAATCTTAGAATTGTGGATTCATGTAACTTCAAAGTCTGCACTTTGCAGGAAAGAAGGAAGTTAAAAAGTAAGGGTAATAAGATGAATATGGATACTTATACTGGTTGAAATATTTTAACACTCTTTCTTTTTTGAATGATTTGTTTTCTGCTTTAAGAAAAGTTTTAGTATTTTATTGTTGTTTCATTTTCATTTTTCAAGTGTGAAGATGACGGACAGATATTTTTCAGCCTGGATGATGGGAGCACCAAATTCACTGACCTAATACAGCTTGTTGAATTCTACCAACTAAACAAGGGAGTTTTACCTTGTAAACTCAAACATCACTGCATCCGGGTGGCCTTATGACCTCTGTTCCAGCCCATAACTGGCTTTGTTCCAAGAATGGAGATGGAAGAGAAATATTGTTGAAGAAAGTTGACACTGGGACATTAGCCAACTTGTAGTTGCTTTTAAGGAACTAAATGTACCATCAAAATTATGCACCTAGGGGACTTGGAAAGGGATGCTTGAGCTGGTGCCAACAGTCCAAGATTTTGCTCTTTTGTCTAAATCCTAAGCCTGATTGCTGCTGAGTGTCCCAGCAACCCCCACAAAACTGGGAAAGGTTATGTAAAAACACTAAACAAAACTGGAAATTGTCCCTTGGCTGGTCCACTTAACAGAGTCAGGTTTGTGAAGCAAAATTATTGAAAAGAACTCTTGCCCTGGAATAATCTTGACAATTTAAAACTGAGTATATTTTCTTTTTGTATTGATCACTCTCTTTATATTGTTTTTTGTCGCTCTCTATTTTTTTTGCACTCCTTTTGGATATTATATTTAGCCTATATTAGCTGATACAGTTTTTAAATTTATGCCTGATTTGGGTGTTCTAAATCCTATACTGCATGAATTGCTTCATCCTAACAATAATCCAAAAGACAAAAAATGTCTTCTGACTTTTGAAACTAGATGCTCCGCCATTTGCTGATGTTGTTGAAGAAACAATATGGAGACAATTCTGGGAAGGAAAGAACATCCCACCAGTGTATGATTTTTAAAATAATGGCTGTAGTTTGTGTGTATGAAAGAGGACTCTGCTTCTATGCACAGATGTTTTGAACCTGTTTTATTTTGATTGCCTCCTCCCTCCCAATCTGCTGGAGCTCCTTTTTCTGCACATATCCCGTGGGAAAATCCACTGTCAGTAGCTAGTTCAGAGCTGAATGATAATATATGTATTTGGAATCACTTGGCTTTTTTCTGTTTATTTTATTTTATTTTATTTTATTTTATTTTATTTTTTGGTGGGGAGGGGAGGGGTTGTCATTTATTTAGTCTAGAAATCAGTGTTTTCTATTTTTAGCATTATTTCCTTAACTCTTCAGAATGTATTATACAGCTCCAGTGCACATATAACACTGCCTAGTCTTCTAACCATAGTTAGGAGTTTAAGAGTGCTCTGTAAGTCTGCATGCTCTTTCCATTTATTTTTTCTCTGGACGTGCATTTTCTAATAACCCAAGCACAATTCTGATTTTATGTTTCTTTGCTTATTGAAAATACTGTTGTAGGTGTTACACAAACTATAAATAGAATCAAAAGTGAAAACAAAGGAGAAGTGCCCATGTAGCGCTCCCAATCTTCCAAGTATGGCTGGGATATTGAGGAATGCTCCAGCAGCATAGATGTACTTTTCCTAAGTGATGGCATGATAAATATGATTGTCAATGAAGTAAATGTGAGAAATGCAGTCTGATCACATGCTGCTGGATTGCCAAAACTTAACACTGTGAGCTTGTTCAAAACTGTGGACATCATCCCTCAAGCACTGCTGCACATTCTCTCCGTCCATTTCAGTCTTGCTGTAAAAGAGGGCAGTGCACCTGCAGCATTGCAATAACTGGATGACTAATTTTTATTTGGAAATTATATGTTCAGCTGTCTCTGCCACAGAAGGACTTGCCATTGACAGTTCAGACAATTGATCCTTTAAGGTTTATGCACTAACATTTGCATGCCAGTATCTGCAGCAACTAGAGAAACCTTGCTTCAGTCCTGGTTCATCATCCTACTATTAGTCCTGATTTAGGCTCCCTAAATCCATACACTTAGAATGTTAATGTGTACATAGCTATGCAGAACAAATAATACTTTATTTCTCTTGAAAGGCACAGCTTTCTAGCTGTAATTGGGGGAAAATGTGGCAAATAAAAAGTATGCCACTGAAGTGTCATCTCTGTCAGTGTACTCATATTGGCTCATGTTTTCTAATTCTAGATAACTGTGTGCATGGAGATATGCCATGTGGAGGGTTTTATAACATCGGAATCAAGGCCAATGCTTGTGAATATTTCAGCTGTTCCATGTTTACATAGCGACACTTCTTTCATTGATAGCTTGCACTTAAATAAGGTCAATTATTATGATTATCGTAATTTGGGGATGATAGTAAGTGCATATAGGAAGTGTTTTGTGTTTTATAAATCAAGAAGTATGTTCCACCCTATGAATGTTCAGAATTACTTGCAAGTGAAATATCTTCTCTCTCACTCTCTCCAAAAATCTTGAACCTTTATATAGGTATTAATATTAATTATTGCATGTAACTAATAGCCCATTTGAGCAGTTGAAATTGAGTACAGTTATTTATTCACAGGATAATCATATACTGTTGAGAGTAGCTTAAGACAATATAACCAGCTTGAGTTATGTATAGCAGATGAAAAAACACTGTATTTTAGTTTACAGAACATATCTACTAGAGGTTTTTCCATGAAATGTCTACATATACAATGAAGAAACTTGATTTTTGTTAGAAATATCTTGGTTATTACATTTTACATATTTTGTCAACGCTTGTAAGGTAAGCTAACATGAGTTGACTTAATACTGCATATTTGTTCCACCTAGATTTTTTAAATGGACTTACAGGATTTTTTAAAATACAGATTCTCAAGTTTAAGTGAGGTTGTTTGAGTTTATTAAAAATTACTGAAAATTTTTCAGTATCTTAGTTACACAGTTTCCCAGTGATAGCTTCATGTTATAAAAATTACATTTAATTGAATTTGACAGTACAAGTTCTGATTATGATGAATTTGAATGCAGAGGACAGACTATTTTGTACTACCTTCAGAGTGGTAGCTATATTACTTGAGCACACCATTATTGAATTTCTCGGCTTTGCTAGAAATGTACAATTTCTAACACATCTTAAACAGTACCAGCAGATACAGCTGTCTAACAATTTAGGAAATAAGGATTGAAGGAAATTTGATTTTTTAAAAAAATATTTAAATGACATGAATGTAAAGAGGGATGCTCAGGGTTGTTTCTGGAGCCTGTTGATTTTATTTTATTTTTGCCTGTGATTGTTTTGTAAATAAAATATGTCATATAGCATCTTGTAATATGTTAAGAAGGAAAATGCCAAACCATTTGGCAATTTTTTTTAAAAAATAGGTAAGTTATATTATTTGTGTTTTTTAAAAGTACAGCTTTTTATTTGTTGAATTAATCTTGAAGAAATATGTGCCTCTATTTTTAGATTGTTTTGTCTTAACTTTTCTGCACTAAGTACCTGACCATTTTGACCAATCAATGCACCTTTCCAGTGGCAAGACTTGCTTAAATTATATTGTCATAACACAAGACTTTATTGTGACTGTAAAATGGAATAAAACTTATCAGGGAATGCAAAAGGTATTAACTTAAGGGACACAACCTCTTATTCAATATGCATTGCTTCATATTGTAAATAGCTTTTCATTTTTGACTAGTGAACTTAATTGTTATCTTTCAGGTATTTTTGTACAAAACAAGGGACTGGTTATATTTCTTGTACTTAGAAATAAACATTCAAACAATGGTATTCATTTTATACTGTTGGTAAAGTTTCATTTGGTTTTTTTCAAAGGGGCATATCCAATGCAATACTACAGCTGTAGGTGATTGTACTGCCTGTGAACTATTTTTCCATTAACTGGAGTAAATACATGTATTCATTGTATTTTTTTTTTTAATTAAGAGATTAAGCTACTTTCAGGGCAACTGCCATTAACAGATGTGGAATATACAAAAAACCGTCAACAATATCCACATTATGCTCCTTTAAATGAACTATGCATTTTGATCAAGATGAAACAAATTAAAAAGACCAAAATAAAAACTTACCTTAAAACATCATCCGTGACAGAGCTGTTTTTCTACTTGAAGAAAAACATTTTCATCAATGTGGGAGCAGTATTAAAAAGCCTTCTCTCTGTTATTTACCAGTCTAATCTGGCTGCAGAGCAGAGCCTTGAAGAGGGATTTAAATGCTCATGCAGTTCTTGCAAATAGTTCTTCAGTATTAAGGCTTGCAAAGCCCAAGGCCAGCACTTTAAGGTTAGGGCTAGGGTTAGAAACAAATAGGCAGCCTTTATTACAGGAAGAGAATAGGTATATTCTTTGAGTATTTTCACTACTGTATTTGGATCATTTGAAATTCCAAAGGCAGTTTCGTGTCAAGTGTTTATAGTAATCAATCAATCAATCAAACTTTATTACAGTCATAGACCAATACAGAGACATATGTTTATAAAACAAATTTAGTCATACTTAGTTGTTAACAATTTATAATAGCAGGCATATATATTAAAATACACTTATTACCAGCTCAACAAATGAGATCTAGGATGGAGCCTATGTTGACTATACTAACTATGTACAGATTAAAAATATATTAAATGTGAGGTATAAAATTTAAAAGTCTGCATTGTGACTATGCTATATGTAAAAGTTACATATAGGCAAGGTTATAGAAGATTTACTATAGTATACAGGCCATTACATAGGATAGCCTTTCTTAACATTTGGTCTCTTGATGAGGCGGATCTTCATTGCTGCAGCGCAAAATCTTGTTACCTGCTCTGTTACTATGGGATGTTCATCTGTGAGCAGCAATTGCATGTGCTCGTGGTCTGTACATCCAGGATATTTAGCGATCCATGGTGTGATAAATTTAGCACGGGGGTCTTCGTAAAAGGCACAGTGCAGGAGGACGTGTTCTGTAGTTTCAACCTCTCTTGAGTCACATGGGCATAATCTAGTGGCCAGTGGAATTTTTTTTATACCTTCCCTCCAAGACAGCAGAGGGGAGGGCATGGCAGCGTGCTAAGGAGAAAGCTCTCAGATGGCAGGTGATTTCAAGGTGGTCAAGGTAACTAGCGACCAAAACTGTGTTTTTTGAATGCAGGGGACAGGAGGAGCGGTGTCTTTCCTATATCTTCTTGTCTCTCAATATCCTTTATCCTTTGTTTTAATTCTTGTTTTGCTCGATTAAAATCCATCTCCAGTTTATAGTAATGTAGTTCAGATATAATTACTAGTAATATTTGTGTAATCCCAATTATATTTATAATCCTAATGGTATTGGTTTTTATATCTATGGTAGCACCCTAAATTTTAATTTTATTAATTGTTCTTGTAGTATGTAGATTAGACTTGGCACAAAAGGATGGCTTTAATTTTAGCATTGAATGTAAATTTGATTGGTAAGTGACCAAAGTAGATGCTGCTGCTGCTGCTGCTGCTGCTGCTATAATCTCTGAGGCAAGATCTGTTCTTCAGAGAAAATTAGAGTTGGTGAGCCAATTAAAGATGATAAAGTGTATTCTTGGCCACCAATGGTACCTGTACTGTGCCCAGGAAAACCCCAAACTCCTTTATGAAAGATAAAGAAAAGAATGTATTATCTGTCTTGATTGGGTTGTAGTTTTACCTTGTTTGCATCCATCAATCCCCAGTAAGCCTTCATGTTACCAGCCAAAATGTATACAGCCTCACTAGGTATAAGATGAGGGCATGTCATCTGCATACTGATGAATTGCAGCCTAAACCACCTGATAAGTTCTCTTAAAGGTGAAGAGCAAAGTCATCCCCAGCTCCACCTTCTGGTCAGCACGAGTAACAAAACTACAATATTTGGAGTAATAAAGCTCCAAGTTTTAGGAGAAACAATTTAGAAGTATGGTATCATAAATACTGATAGACTAGGGAAAAAAAATCAAATGAAACAGTTTACCTTTTCTAAACTGCAGAGTGTTAGCCCTATCTTGGCAGGATTTAGAAGACATGAAACAAAAGATTTGAGGAACTTGCAGAATAGACTTCAACTTGCCAAACTCTTTGTCAGTCTTCTCAGATTTTACAAGCTGAAAATCCACCACAGTACTAGGTGGTGCCATAGCAGTATGTATCAAGGCTGTGTAAATCTTTGAAGGGATGTTTTGCTTCAACAAAGGTTCATGCAAAGCGCTCCCTCAAAGTTGCTTTGTGAGGTAACATGGTCATTCTGATTCTAAGAAGGATGTTAATGTTTTGCTCTACTTTTTCAAAGTTGTGTGTTAAGCATTATGGAGGACTGCTACTCATCAAAAATGTTGATGAAAGCTGCAGAAAGCATGCTGCTTGCTTGCTCTGACATGGCTCATCAAAACGTGACTCTGCTTTCTACAGCATGCCCTTACCAAAATCTGAAGAGGTGTTTTGCCAAGCACTGGCCAGGTGCTAGACAATTGGTTCTTTTAGGATCCAGAGACAATGAACCCACCAGTAAGTAAGGGTATACTAAGCTTTATTGTTAACTTTAGCAGACAGATTTAAATAAATACAAAAGCTTGAAATGCAAAAACATGAAATACAAAAACATAACGTACCAAGCAAGATGATAACCAATTGCCCTTCAGCTGTCAGGAGCCCCAGTGGAACGACATCGGAAATACCCCAAGGCAGCCAATTCACACAGCACCTGGTACCAAAATCTGTGTCGAAGCTCAAAGCTTCAGGGGCAATCTTAAGGTTTTTATCAAGGTTTGGCTCTAAAACCTCATGATCCTGTTTCCATGGTACTGAGACTGCAGGATCTGACCTTGGCTAGATGGTACCCCTGCTCATCATGTGAACTAACAAAACCCTTGATGTAAACTAAGAGCTTGGGAGCTGTATATATAAGCCAGTGCTAACCTAAATAATCTTGAGGTCCTCCTACAACTGTGTGAAGATTCTTCTCTTTTCTTGATTTACCAGGCAAAAGTAAAAAACCAGCAAAACATTATTATGACTCAGAGTGAACTAAGTGTCTTAATATGAAGGAGAAACTAAAACATGTCACCTCATTCAAAATACAATGGTCTTCTGCACTGCCACTACAAGAGGCTCTTGGCCGGGCAAAGTGACTGCATAGTAGCATCATCTAGCTTTGGCAAGTGACCATAGAGCAGTGTTTTAGCTGATACATTGTATACCAAGGTGAAATAATGCCTTGGCATTATTGTTAACATGTTTTGAAATGGAAGATATATAAATGTTTTCTCAATATCTAATTTAACATAAGGTCAGGAGGTTACATGTGAGACCATCCAAACTCTGAATTCAATATAGCCTTCCTAAGAGAAGAGCCATGGAACTACATATGAGAAATACTGTATAAACTTTCAATATACTGTTGTCAGAAGTGTTAATTGCAACAATTTAGGGTTGCGAGTTGCATTATTCTGTGTGTGCATGTTGGAGAGAATCTGACAAGCAACGAAGCAGATTGTGTGTTTATATACACATGCACACACACACACAATTTATTCCCCCCACCCTACCCCCAGGCCCTGCTGTGCTGCCTCATTGTGGTGGATGTTGTTACTGGGAGGGATGAGGAAGAATGTCAGAAGTGTATCCCAGCTGTCCAGCTAAAGCAAAAGCAATTTTTACAGAAAAATATTTACAAAAAATACATTTTAGGGACAGGCAAAACTAGCTGAAAGAAAGTATAAGAGCATATGCTCTGTGCCTGTCTGCCTGGGAAAGGCAGAAGGAAGTGACCTTAGAATAGCAATCTCTTAGATAAAGAGCAGGCAGAATGACAAAGAGGAGAAGCAGAGTAAATTCTTAATTTTACCTACATCTCACTTCTTTGTGGCCTGTAGATCATGAAGTGCTGAAAGATCAATGCCATTGGATCTGGACTGCATCGGTTTTAAAAGGGAACTAGATACATTCAGGGGGACGCAGCGGCTTAATGACACTGAAAGTTGCCGGCCAGAAATGGCTGACGCTTCGGGGGTTCGAGTCCAGCCT